GGCCAAGACCCGGAAGAGCCACGCAGACCAGGAGAAGCTACAGTAATGGAGAGCGTGGGCTTGCTGAGAGAACGGACAGACACCGTGGGACAGAACGGAGCCCTGAACACAGCCAGCCCACTCTGACACAGAAGCGAAGACCATGTACTCAACCAACGCTGCTGGAGCCCCTGGATAGCCACGTGCAAAACATGAATCTAGACACAGGCCTCACACCTGTCACAACAATGAACTCCAAGTGGATCAGAGCCCAAAATGTGAAATGCAAAACCATGGAACTGCTGGGAGATAGCATAAGGGAATATGTAGATGACCCTGGCTTTGGCGATGACTTTTAGATACAACATCAAAGGCACAACCCATGAAAATAAATCACTGAAAAGCTGAACTTCATTAAAAGTATAAACTTTCGCTCTCCCAAAGTCAATGTCAACGAGAAGATCTGCAGAGATCTCGTGAAGGGCTATCGAAGAGGACAAAGAAGCTTAAAGCTCCACACCAAGATAAACAGTCTGGTTAAAAAATGGGCAAAAGACCCGAAGAGAGACCTCACCAAAGGAGACACACCGATGGCAGGCAAATGGAGGCAGCGAGCAGCACGCCTGGCACATGCACGGGCCGGGGCCGCCCAGTGCGGGTTGCGGAGCAGCAGGAGGCTCACTGCCGGGGGCACGCACCCGGCGCAGCCCCTGCGGCGCCTTCTCACACAACTACACACACTCTAAGGCCCCGCAACCGTGCTCCTCGGCATTTACCCAAAGGAGCCGAACGCTATGTCAACACACACACTGCACACAGTTGTTTACACGCAGCTTTGTTCAGTTGCCAAATCTGACAGCAGCCAAGATTACGCCAGGCAGTTTTCAGAGGAATGGAATTTGGTCTGACCAGTAGGCACAGGACACTGAGAAGACCACGCTGGCCCTGGGCCTGTGACAAGCAGGGAGCGTGCAGGGAGATGTGCACCGGGGCCCAGGAGACACCGCCAGCACGAGAAGAGCTGCACTAGCCAGCACGGGAACCAGCGCCTGGGCAGCCCAGAGGTGCTCGCAGACGGGGGGCGGGGAGGGGCTGGTCCACGTGTGGCGAGGTTGCTGACTGTGGCTGCGCACCCAGTGCCCCAGCAGGGGAAGGAAGCAGGCGCCTGGCACGGGGGCTCCCTCGCTGTCCTCCAGGGAGCTTGCCTGCAGGCCGGGAGCAGAGTATGTGCTCTCCGGACGAAGGACAGCCCCAGACGTCACTCTGTCTGCCGCAACCGTGCTCACGCTTTTCCGCACAGGTCTGCACCGCGGCGTCCACGCTGCCCTGCCTTTCTGAGTGTGAGAGCTCTGAAGAGGGAAGGCGTCTGACTGCCCTTCAGTCCCGACATCACCAACACAACTACCAGCTCCGGGCCAAAGGGTGTGGTTTGAAAAAGTATTTTTAATATTATGACATAATTTCAAAATCCATGGACATGAAAAATATACGTAAGTACAAAGCAAGCCCAGTCTTCCAGAGGCACAGCTGCACTAAGGGGGCGGGCAGCACGGCCGCGAGCGCTCCTGGACCCGTGGCACCGGGACACGTTCAGAACCACGGCTTCCCGAGCGTCAGGCACAGTGCCGTCCGCCTGTGGGCACCACCCTGCACCGCGGATAGGGTTTCTTACCCGGGAAACACCAACGCTCAGAACAGAGGGAGAGAAGCACTTCATGGACCGGATGGGCTTTTGCTGGGGAGTGGGGGGCAGAGGGAAGCTCTTTTGAAGATGTAATAATGGCATTTTCTCCTAACAGTTTAGAATCCTGACAGTTCCTAATATTTAAACAGGACACCAGGAGCCCCACTAATTCTACCGGAACTCTCCAATTGATGCGAGTGGCCCAGTGGCTCCCGGGACAGGACAGGACAGGACAAGCGAGACAGCAACAGCTCCCACCTGCCCTACCGCTCGCCATGCAGGGAAAGACCAGCTCAGAGATGAGGTCGAGTGCAATGGCCGGCCCTGGGGAGCGTGAGCCGGAAACGCAAGCCTCGCTCTGGGTCAGCCCTCTCTCCATCGCCTCCTCCGTTCCCGGGGAGATGGCACACGTCGCCCGGGGCTGGCTCACCTGGTGCGATGGCTCCACGTGGGCGGTCCCTTCCCTGCACGGGCCACCCCTTCTCTGACAGGTCAGTCAGACGACTCCTGGCAGGGCCCTGCCCCTGGGCCCCCAGGCCTCGCTGCATGGAGCCCAGGGAGCCCGGGCGCCAGCCCACGGAGGGCCGCTCTGCGCGAACCC